TTGGGTAAAAACCTACGCTCTAATGGCGACCAAATTATAAATGTTCTGAGTACGATATGTGTAAATAATAAAATGTAGTGTGGTGTTCTTCATATAAAACTAAACAGTGTTAAATGCAGCTGTGCTTGTTTCTTTCTATCATCAATCGTTAACCCAAATCCGACATGGAATTACAGTCCACTTCAGAATCGTAGCATAGTGGAGCAGCCTATAAAAGAAAAGACCCTTACAGGCGTCATGACAATAGATATTTATTTAACTACTTTACAAATGTTTGCAGTCAGTCAAAATTAAAACTTACAAATTAAATACCTAAAATATATTATACACCTGTACAAACACAAATCCATAGATACAAATAAAATAAAAAGTTTTAAAATTTTATTTAAAAAAATTTATATAATTTGACAGCTGATAATTTAAAAATGTAGATATTTAAAGTGTACAGAAGAAATTGATATGAAAATTTCATCCAAACACTCCTTTTCAAGTATAATCTCATTCAGGTCGGGTTCAATTCATGGCACCTACAAACTTATAAATTCACTTTAGATTCTAGATATAAATTTTATAAAAAGTTCTTGTTCTCCTTTCTTCTCTACCTTCTCGTTCTAAATTTTACCTCCTCCTGAACAGTTTTTCCTGCACCTCTTCTTGTCTCTCTTTGCCTTTATACTCCTTGGAATCTTGTTACTTCCCACTGGGCACTTTTCAAGGATGATTTGAATAATTTATATACTTTACTTTTGATTGTATAAGAAACATATGCTGTATGTTTATGTTATTTGTTTCTGGTCTCATATTTCATTTTCAAAATTTCCTCCTCCTTTCAACCACTGTTTTATAACATCTCTTCCAAATTATTTGATCCTGACCCATGACCCAGTACCATTCTCAAAGGGATTTGTTTCTACCTCAATATATACACTTTACGTGACCTAAGTTGACAAGCTGGAAGGTGTGTTCATATATTTTTTTTGCCTATATAATCTAACCTTACAAAGAACGATTTGTCAAGACGTTCTTTTATTTCTATTAATCACATTTTTTTATGTAAACTTTTATAACGACCAGGTAAAGGAGGGTGGCACAAAATTGATCGAAAAACATTTGATTGAATAGGAAATTTGATAGAAAATACATTTTATCGAATGGCATTTGATCGAAAATGCATTTGATCGAAGATATATTTTATCGAATAACATTTTATCGAAAAGACAATATATCAAAAATTCATTAGATCGAAAGGACAATATATTGAAAATTAACATTAAACGACACCATGCAACCGTCCATATAATCCCTACTACCGGGGAAACTAAACTCAGCAGCTTTCTAATTAGGTAGGTACTAATAAAAAAATAAAAAAATTAACCTATTTAACTAACCTGTGCGGCCTGGAGCCTCGAGGGTTGCTTCGCAAAAATATATACAAAAAAGAATTAACTAATTTATCTAACCCCTGCTATTTAAATTTAACTAATTGCTCTCGCACAAGTTAGGTACGTTAGTTAAGTTTTTTATTTATTTCATTTTTTGTATATTTGTTTTTGCGAAGCAACCAGCGATGACTCTAGGCCGCACAGGTTAGGTACATTAGTTAAGTTTTTTATTTTTTTTTTTTAATGTTATGTATATTTGGTTTTTCGATCAATTGCTTCTTCTATCAAAACTATTTTCGATTAATTTTCTTTTCTATCATAGTTATTTTTGATCATTTTTCGATCAAAAGTATTCGATCAAATGTTTTTGATCAATTTTGTGCCATCCGATAAAGGATTATAGAGATTTAGGTTTAGAGAATATTTCTTTAAATCTAAATGATATACTTAGGACAAAAATTGGTACATGATAATAAAAAATTGTTTTGTCATCATTAAATATACAGATCCATCCAACGTACTAGGAACATGGTAAACATGATGACCAATTAGGCATTCCAACGACCTGTCCAAATGGCTACTAGTGGGTACTGACAGTTTAGATATGGCAACCCTGTTATCATTAACAGGGTCAATGATACATATATGTTATATACATTGCTCAAAGCTGGTCGTTTGCGAGCAGCCATATTGCCTGGCAAATATTTATTAATTTGAATCAGTTTAGCAAAAATGTGTTTTAAAACCAATTTTCAGCCTTTAGATATTTAAAAAATAATAATTGCTTATATTTTTACTTCAATGCATAAGCTTATGTTTATTTTGAAAAATAGGGATGATCAATCTATTGCTGCGTTTGAGAATCCACATCGGATGCATTTTTTACATCTCGAGCGTTTTTTTATCCACATCGGACACATCTGTCCCATTACATTTACGTATACTGCATCACGTGATCAAAGATTTTTTACATCTCAGATGCATCCGATGTGGATTCTCAAACGCAGCATATGTAACTATCTATTTCACTCACCTCGTCAAATCACCAGGCCTACAGAGTTGCCATAACTTTACCACATCATAACCTGTCAAAACCCACTGGTAGTCATTCAGTTTGGAATGCCTAATTTACGCTTGTCCGCAACTGTCACATTCAAATTTTGGGCTTTTATCGCTGGCGAAAAATATTTCTTTAGATTTAAAATGAATCTTTACGGATTTACTGAGTAAGTACAAATTATTGCGAAATGGAATTTTCAAGGCAACACAATTCAACAAATAAGCTGTTTAAAGCGACATTTCAAAATAGGCCCATATCATCATTCTCAACAGTACATCCTATTGTTCAAAATTTTTAAATGCATAGTTGCGTTTCTCCTAATGAACATAAAAAGGCTAGAGTTCTCCATAATCAGAATGAACAAGAAGATATAGTCTAAGAGCCAGTGAAAAGCAGACACAAAATATTTCAATAAACCCTCAATTTTATCAAAAGGCTCTCTTACACTTACTGTTCATGAGTGGGAGACTAGCTAAGCCCGGTCAAGGTAGGTTGTGTGGCGGTCAGGTGTAACAGGTACAAAAATTAGAGGAACTTCGAAAGTATTTCAGTAAAGCTGCCGTTTATATATATTAAATTAAATCATTATTGTTATTGGAAAATCACAATGGCAGACAGTTATGGCGGTTTCAAAATTAAAAAAAAAAAAAATATTTTACTAAATCTGAAATTTAAATGTTATTCTTAACAGTATTACTAGCTTATATTCATTATGGCAGACATTTTCTCCGGTTACAACAATCTAGAAAACAGACAAACTTAAACTACAGCCCAAGCATACGTATAACATGTGTACATACAGTACTTACTTTTATATCAATTGAATCGGCATTATTTGACATTTATTGTTGTAACCTATATGAGGGGAAAAATTAGAAATTATATGAAAATTACCTACACATATCAGGGTGTAATGATATTACAATAAGTATCAGTATAATTTTTATTGAGTTTTTCCATATGATTCAACAAACAAAAATTTCAATTTTACATACATTTAAAAAAATACATCTGAAATCTACCATCATCAACGTCCACAGATGTTATAGCGCCATACATTTGACAAGTAAATATTTGGATTGTAATAAATACATTTTATAATTCTTCTTTTGTCTCAAATCAGCGTCACCTTGAGCTGCAAAGGCTTGTTGAAATGGAATATTTATTTTTCAAAAAGGTTAATGGTCTTATTAAAAAAGCAGGACTAAAATCACTCCTAATACTTTTGATTTTAGCATTCTATAGCAGTTTAAAAACTGCTGCGTATTTTAAACCGTGACACTTTATTTGAAAGCTTTTTTTATTAGTAATTTAATATACAACATAACAAAACATAATTAACTAAAATAACTGAAAAATTTTGGCAGCTTTAACGCTAAGATCTATAAACTTTAATAGCAATAAACTAAAATAACAAACTTATGCTACTCATTAAATTACTACTAAAATTATCTTTTAAATGAAGTGTCACACTTTACAATACGTAACAGTTTTTATCTAGCTAAAATCAAAAGTAAAGCAATAAACATTTATATTGCTGAATTACTACTAAAATTACCATTTTAATAATGGACACTACTTGGTAATTTCCCTATTTAAATTTTGTTGGTTACATTGATGGAGGGGAGGGGAATTATGTTTATTTATTTAGTATACACCACCCTACAGTAAGCCAATTATTGGGTGGGGATTGACATCTAATAATATGACACTATGAGATAATTCATAAACAGCAAAAAAAAGTTAACAAAATTGCAAAACAAACAATAATAGCAACATTTATTTTAAATATACAGTATTTATTATATTGCATATCATTCGTACATTATAAAAAAATAACTCCTAGTAGAGAGATAGAAGTACTTTCAAGTATAGTTGCACCACAAAGATTAGATTAGGTACCTAGTCAAAACTTTAAAATTTTATTCTTGATATTGGTCGGACTATCAAAAAAATATACAGTTAATTCTACATTGAGGATATAACAGGATGGTGTCCCCCTTGCAATAAAAATCGACCTGATTTTAAATTATTCAGTATTAAAATTAATTAAGTGTAATGTAATAATTAGTGAAGGGTAATGTAGTAATCAAATATAAGTTTTCGGAACATATTAAACGGTAATGTCCAGTATACAGCAATACAAGTATTAATATTATTTGCCAATCGGAGCATGATCACAAGAGGTGACCTGGCAGTCGTAAGAACTAAAGAAATGTTAAACATACATGGAAGTCTCATTCTCCTCGGAGGTAAATCTTTAAAGATAGAAACGTCAACATTCATTCAGAGAAAAAGTAGAGTTAGCATGATTCAATCACACTTTGAATTGTTACTGCGATTAGTAAAATCCAAATAAATGATGTTATGTTTCTTTAATATCTGAAAAACATTTGAGGAATTAATAGAAACTCTATTGGATGTCCATTATAATTACGCTTCTATCTTTAATGTTTTACGTGTGGTTTAGAAAAAATCCATTCACTTTTACTTGCTATCAACATTTTATTAGAAAATTGGATTGAGTATCGATAAACAATTTCTATCACATTTTATAGTGTTGCGATGGTAATTGCCCACCTTGTGAAAAACCCTGCGGAAGGACCCTCAACTGCGGAAATCATAAATGTACCTCCATTTGTCACAGAGGACCTTGTTATCCTTGCAATGAAACGGATGATGTTTCCTGTAGATGCGGAGCGACAAAAATTGCAGTGCCTTGTGGACGCAAAACTAAAACGAAACCTCCAAAGTGCAACGTCTTATGTTTGTAAGTGTCGATTTAATATGATGAATCAAGTAAATCTAGAATTTAAAACAAACTATTTTTTATTACAGGACACCACCAGATTGTCATCATGAGAAAAGAATACCACATAGATGCCATTTTGGTGAATGCCCTCCTTGCAAACAAATTTGTAATAAAGTGCACAGTAAATGTTTCCATGTGTGCCCGGCTATGTGTCATACGGCCGTATTGATAAAGGTTGAGGGCCAAAAAGCTTCAATGCCATGGGAACAAGTCAAACCTCAAGTTGTGAGACAGGAATTGCCTTGTCCAGATTGTACTGTTAAAGTTCCCGTTACGTGTTTGGGTAAGCGAAAAATATTCAAAATCGTCAAAAATAGTAGTAGCTTTTAAATTTATTTTTCAAATATTTCTCACCTTTTTGTGACCAGTATTTTAATTAAAAACTATGTTACAAAAATCTAGGTGAACATGAAACGTGCGAATGGCCCTGTTACATAGCGAAACCGTCGAGTTGTCACAGACCCTGTGGAAGAATGTTAGAATGTGGAAATCACACGTGTACTTTGCCCTGTCACGCTGTTGAGAATGCCCTTGACAACATTAAGGTAAGTTATACTTTTATAAATTCAAAACACTCAGTACAAACAAATCTTTTCATAAAATCATAATAAATCAACAAAAAAAATTTTATGTCAATATGTTTTGTAGTTAACTTCCTATTTATAGGTATATAACATCATGACATAAATATTTAACATAACACCATGGGAAATTACTACAAATACTTGAACGTCATGGAATTCGTGGCACTGTACACAATCTTTTTAACAGCTACTTGACAATTCGTTAAGTTTGCCACAAAAAGTTAGAGTAGGTGTGTCTCATGGCACAGTTCTGGGACCTATTTTATTCACAATATAGATAAACCCCTTACTGAATCTAGATGCTGATTGTGACATATCATATGCTGATAACACAGTTGCCATTTTTAATGGAGGTAAGTGGGACATTGTTAAAGAGAAAGTAAAAGTTGGGATAGAAAAAATAAAAAATTGATTAGACAGATACCAATTATTCTTAAATATCGAAAAGTCGAAATATGTAGCGTTTGCTATCACTGCGGCAAATAAACCTAACATAATAATTTAGGAGAAATAGAAGAAGTTGGTAATATCAAATACTTAGGGACTACTATTGATAAATATTTAAAATGGAATGAACATATTATAACATATCTAACAAAGAAAGTTCGGAAACTAATTCATAAATTTTATCGGTTCATTAATTACGTGAGGTATTTTTGAGGATTTTTTGACCCCCCTCCCCCCTGGTGAGATTTCGTAAGATTTTTCTCAACTCCCTCCCCCCTCCCCTAATCTCACGTGAGATTTTTCAAAATTTGTGTTTTGGGTGTAAATGCGTTGGATTATTAAGAAAAGAAACAAAAACACAATATGTTCTATTACTTTTATTTAAAACTACCAAAGAATATTGAATATTGCCGTAATTTAAAATCACAGTGATAAAATAAGTAATAAATACTTAAAAGAAAATTAATAGAAGATTTATTCTAATTCAGCCCATGGGGACTCGTGCACGGCCTCTAGAGTGATTACTGGAACAAACATATTTAAGTGATTTTCAATTAAATCATCTGCTACTTCACTCTGATTTAGCTACTCTAAATCGTTGTCACTTGCGCACAGAAGCTCAGTAGCTCGTCTTGTGACAATCCGCGAGGGTCGCAATTTGGGTGTTTGCACAGATCGTACGTGATGGACCGCACGTCGACGTTCTGCGACTTTTGTGATTGATGCCAAAGTAGATACCGCATGTACTGCAGCATCTCTTTTTTATATAATCACGTAAACTTGGGCAATATAGGTCGTAAGGCATGCCCATGAAGGCGTGCAGCGGTTGAATCGGTAGGCAGTGGCGAATTAGAAATGATGCAAATGATTTTTCGTCATGCTCTTCAGGATCCGGAATCGTCGGATGTCCATTAACTTGATTAATAGGATATGGAGGTGACAAAAAACGATCGTGTAGAACTAAATCTAAATTTTTCGACGTGGGCTGCAGCACTGCCGATCATCGCATTTCACAAAAAAAATTACGTCAGATTTACAAAGACCCTCCCTCTCCCCCAAGTGAAATTTGGAAAGATTTATCTTGATCCCCTCCCCCTTTGAAAACCGCACATAATTAATGGATGTCCCTTAAGGAAAAAAGTCTTTAGTTAAATCTCTTCTAAGATATTGTTCACTGGTATGGAGTTGGACTTTGTAATAATAATAATAATAATTTAAAATCCTTATCTGTTGTTCAAAACTATTAAAAGTTATATTCAAGAAAAACAAAGTATCTAATAAAATTAATTTATGGAAAATATATATCAAATGTACGATCATAATACTTCCACAATTCTACTTGTACATACAAGAATAAACATCTTACAACTAATATAGCACGTAGAATAACTTCTTAAAGTACTGTAACAACCAGGAAGTCTAAAGACTACTGATAGGTCTTTAGCTACTGTTGTTAATATACTATGAAGGGTAAACCAGCACTGTCACCAGGCAAAGGGTCCTGGAGTCCAGAAGGAACATCCATTCACCAGTAGCAAATAATAAAAAAAAAATTAAAAGAACAATAATTATCCCTTAATAGCATAGTCGGGCTTGGTAACTGGTTTTAGACTCTTCTAGTCCTAGGGGTGGAAACGCCTAGGCTTCTCAAATGCTCGGAATATTTCATAACTGGTTTTGGAAAGGAGAGGAGAGATTAATAATAAATATTAAAACAACAAATGTAAATTTACAATAGGTATAAAATGACTAATAGTCTCAAGAATGAATGAATAAAATTATATTTAGAGAATAAAGCACTATTTTTAAGATACAGGAAGGAAAAAAATACGACAATAACATTTTATTACCAAAAATTACACGTATTATTATATATAATCAGAACCTTAATTACCATAAGGTGTTAAGATGTTTTTACGTTTATTTCTAGCCTTTCTTTGCCTCCTGCCAATTTAGTATATGTTCCTTCAGGATTTCCGCTACAGTATTATCCCAGGTTTTTCTTGGTCATCTCCTTAGTCCTAATGCATGTTCTTCTGTTCTTCCCCGTCTCCATATCAACGGTCGTCAAGGCTCGACGAATCAGGATGCACCTCAAAGAACATCTACCCGATATACCTGCTTAAAGCTTAACATAATTATGACATCAGTTCCAACATTGACACTTGAATAACCTCAAATAAAAACGACCTAAAAGTCTTAAACTGAAATGACATGTAAGTCAAAACTAAAGGTAAAATTATGACGAGATCACGACGTTGCCACAATTATATGGGGGTAAGAGTTTAAGTACTGATAACTATGTTAACATATTTGTCCACGACTGTTCTATAAAACATTAATTAATTATACTTGTACTTCCTTAAGAATAATAATACCTATTATTGACTAGTGAATAATGATCCATTAGTCACGGTATGACGTCACGACAGCACGTATGTCTAAACTGATATCAAAATATTCTTTATAGGTAATCGAAAAATCGAAAAAAAAATCGAAAAAAGGAGGGCCTTTTTTCAGATTTTTTTTGAAACTACATGTAAAGTGTCTTAATCTACAAGAACTGTTGAAAATGATTTTAGTAATAAAATTTTGTTCGAAACAAAGCGGTTTCTCAAAAATCATCAAAGGACAAAATATATTCTTAGAATAATCCAAAAATAATTCCTTGAATTTTTCGATGAATGTTCAATAAATATATTTTCTTATTTTCTCTCTCTTAGAATTGCTTAATGGGGAATTAGAAGGATACAAATTGCGCAGACAAGTTTGCACTTATTTATTATATTCAATGATAATTATTAAAAAAAATAAAAATATTAATTTCGGTTTTCTGACGAATTCTGTGTCTTAAATATTAAAAAAAAGTAACTTTGTTACAACAGTAATAGTTGGGAATTCAGTAAATACCTAGCAATTACTTAACACGTTGAGTACGGTGTGGCATTTAATGGATGCCTCACTGCTTGTCTTCTTTGAGGCGGCGAGGCATCAATATGATGCCACAGTCAGAAAAGTAGCCAGGACGGCGTGGTTTTGTAGTACGTATAGTAATAGAAAAGTTTAGCTGGCCTTCAAAATAAGAGACATATCCTGTGTTTATTTTATTTGGTTTAAATCTTATTACTATTTAGCAAAATGTAAAGCCAAACGACTTGTTACCAACGAAACATGCTATAAAAAACTAATCTAAATAAATGCGTTAATATAATATAAAAAATAACCAATATTATGATATTTTTGATAGATAAACTTCGCCAAATTCACTAACATTGCCGTCTTCACATCAGACATGCAATTATCCCACAGTTCACGTAATCTCTTTTGTTCTTTCTCAAAATCACCCATTATGTTTACGTTAGATCAAACACGCAGCAACTGCCGCTCCAGCACAAATGCATTGTCCCACATGCATGTAGGTAAATCGACAGGTCTAAACGCGCAAAAATGTGGCATCACATCAATGCCTCACCGTCCATCCTTCTGAATTTAGTCATATAGATGGCGAGGCATCAATGTTCAGCCACGAAAAAAAAAAGGAATAATTGACAAAAACTTAAAAAAAAATTTGTTGAAACATATAGTTTTTAAATTAAGCTTTATCCGAGTAAGATGAATGCCAAAAAATTTCCCGTCCTTCGACATGACTTTTATTTCTTCACTCCCGTACTCAACGTGTTAATCCATTAGGAAATGTTATACATGAACGAAACTTTTAAAGTTTTACTGGCGAATCTTGGACAAAGCTAATGAAAACAACATTTACTGGCAGTAGTTAGTAAAAGTAATTTCATATTTGCAAACCTTTATTTAGTTAACGAAAAACTAAGAATATTACCCTTTTGCGAAACCCGATCTGATTTAACTTTTTTAAAAAATGTATCCTCCATTTGTTTTAAAAAATATTAAGTAAATCGAGACAAATAACTAGATATTAGATATAAGTAATACCACAATAAATAATGACCTCAATAAACCAAAGTACCAGTAATAATTTCCTAATGCAAAATTTAAACAATATCTTTTCCGAAAAGTAAATGGTCCATTTAGTTTAATTTTATTTTTCTTATTTTCTTAAATTTTTAAGTCATTACAATCAGTTTAGCTACATTACATTAAAAATGCAAGGTTTATCCAGATTTTACTAGAACAGATCAGTCAATACTAAAGTGTGTTCAGATTAAAAAATATTTAACTTTTACTCGCGAAAGTATGCACATCAGAAATAGCTTACTTTCCCTACGATTTGTTAACATTTACTGATTTCCAGAATTTACTGTAACATGTATTGCATTGTTTTTCAAATAAAAAAATATGTATAGTTTGACGGTTTATTCCGAATTATTGTATTCCTTATCATGAAGAAAATAAAAATTAATTTATTTATTATTGTTTCAGTCTGGATCTAATTGCGAAAAATGTGAAAGTAGTTGTACCAAAGATCCACCTGAAGGATGTACTCACCCATGTCCGAAGGCCTGTCATCCAGGGCCTTGTCCTTCATGCAAAGTAATGATTAGAATAAAATGCTACTGTGGTCTTAACCAACTTTATGTTGCTTGTGTCGATTGGCTTAATGAAGAAAGAAAGGCCGAGTTGCAGACCTGCGGTAATCAATGTCCAAAGAATGTATGTATCAAAGAAAAATTTCTATTTCCTATCATTTTCTTCTAAATTTTTAAAGTTATTATTTATCTAAATACAGGGTGTTATTGAAATATATGTAGATATTAAAACAGATCAACATTTATGCTCTAGGATGTACAAAAACAATATTTTGAGAAAATTCCAAGAATTGAAAGAGTCACCCAGCAAACACAGACATGTAACATATATGTAACATTTACATATACTAGTTCCGTGTTACATAACAAAGTAACTCACATGATTACTGTGAAAAATTACCTTATTTTGTTATTTAGCAGGTTCCTTATATGTGATGTAATGGGTTAAGTATATGTAAGGAACAATGTTATATATCGGAGGACATGTAACATTTATAATACCATAGTAATATTTAATATGTTTCATTATTACAGCACATATACATTAATTTTTTCATGTAACAGTCTTATAAATATATAAATAAAGGTATGTAAAGGTGTCTTCTCAAAATTAGTTATACAGTGTCAATGTTACAATGAGTAGTATACATGAGCAAATAGACGTCCCCCTTTATATTTTTCTATTAAAACTAGCGAAACATTTTTCTCAATTAGCATTTTTTTGTTTCAACATTTTTTTAGGACTTATAGCGTCTCAATGATTTTTGTGCGGAAATTGTAATTCAGCAAAGTTTTATATAAAACCTTTTATTATTATTATTTCCTTTATTCAGCTAGTTTGCTAATATCACAATATACAAATTTAGTAAAAATATGCATATAAGTCAAAACATAGATAATTTAGATACAATTAAAACAAAGTAAAATTCTATAGGTTGTTGCTGTTTCTGGAGAAATATTCATCAATTAAGAAATCTGTCACTTTGACTTTAAATGTAGTTACAGACGTTACTGAAGTGCGTTATATTGATTTAGACCATTAAAAAATAGTGAATTTTGTGTTGCACTCTTAACAACGGTTTCAATGTAAAAGTTATTTCTATTCCGCGTTGTATAATTGTGCACATTAGAGTGATAATTAAACTTCTCTTTTAGGTACATTGGAGAAGTAACCCGTGTTTGATTTTATAAATAAAAATTAACGTATTCCGTAATAAGAGACTTTTGATTGGCATCCACCTCAAAGTTTCAAGCATGGAAGTATATTTTGAACAGGATAATATTTTTCGCATAGCCCTAATCTGCAGCTTCTGTAGTCGGTTCAACTCATTTTGATTTAGTAAAAAGAGTATTGTAGAGCAATAATTAAAATGAGGTAGAATTATAGTATTATATATATAATACATTTAGTCCACTGTGATAAGTCAAATGAACTTCTCAAAAGGAAATTTAACTTAAATGCAATAGTTTTGATAACAGTGTTGGCATGATCTATGAATCTCATCTGCTTGTCAATCATTACCCCTAAGTATTTGAATTTTTCTACTAACTGTATAGAATTTCCTCCAATTGTTGTTATATTGTTTATCAACAAACTGTGTATAGTTATAGTTGCTACTTATCAGCATACATTTTGTTTTATTTGTGTTAATTTTCAACAAATTATTGCAACACCATTTATAAACATGTTGCAGTGTTTCATTAACAACTCTTACCAAGTTATCTGAATCCTTACAAGAAAAATATATTAGGGCATCATCAGCAAACGGGTGAATGTCACATTGGCCCTTGAAATCAACAATGTCATTGATATACATACACTAAAAACAACAGGGGATCCAATATTCCTCTGACAAAATGTTATTTACTTTTAACTTTTGTTTCCTCTTACTTAGATAATCCACACACCACTCCAATGCTTGCTCTACTATACCCATACTTTTCAATTTTTTTATCAAACTGTTTTGATCAACAGTCTCGAATGCCCTTTGAAGATCTATAAAAACTGCCTTAAATAGTTTTTATCAAATTTATATTTCCAATCATATAAAATACACTGGATAGCTGATTCATAGTTATGTTTGTTTCTGAAGCCCAATTGCATTCTAGTAATAAGTTTATTTTGTTCTAAAAAATTAACAATTTGTTCATAAACGACCTTCTCAATGATTTTTTCGATACAACTTAACATACTAATAGGCCTTAAATATGTAGCTTTATTTGCGTTTTTTGTCTTTGGAACAGGCACTACCATAGCAATAGAGCATTAGGTATTTTTGAAATTTCCAATGACGAATTTATCAAATTTAAAAGTGGTTCTGAGAGGTTGGGAAAACAGTTTTTTAAAATAATAATGGCAATGTCATCTGTGCTACTTTTATTTTTCATTGCAAAAAGAATGTCTCTTAAAGAATCCACCGTACATAGTTGAAATTTTCCAAGAAAATGTCCATTGTGTCTGTCTAAAATTTGATAATCTGGTATTGTATGATCAATCATACTAGCAATCGATTGGATACTGTCTTAGATTAAAGAGACCGAAGATGTAACATTGCACACTGCGCATGCTGTCTATTTTAAGCCAAAGTAACCCACCAATTGAAAATCATTGTTGCACGACGCCACCCGAATTGCTCCGATTTCCATTCAGCGATCACACCTCCACCTGAGTTTAATCACCATTGACAGCTGCTTTTTGATTTATTTGTTGGTATTTTAGCAATTTAAAGTGTTCTAGTTATTCAATTTCAAGTTCAAAATGTCACGATGTATCTTGAAAAATTGTATGTACTTATAATACAAGTACTACTGTTATGAATATATTCGTTTTCAGCGGTAAATATTTATTAACGTTTTGACATAAAGCGCCATGATTCTCTGGGCTGAATACTTCAGATCCGCATTAAGGGGTTTCAATAAATATTAAGCATCAGAAATCAGCTTTCATATTACTTACATAAATTTACAAAAGGGTAAAATTTTGAACATTTAATTTAAATAAATAGTAAATAGGCATTATTGCTAACGAAATTTTGTATTTAAAAAGTAGTTTTATAAGAATGTTTTCTAAAGGTAGTTTTTAGCCCTTTTTGGTAGATAAATAAGAGGTAAAGAATCATAGTTGCTAGCTAAATTTTATTTTTATAAGGTATTTTTATAAGAATATTAGATGAAATACAGGATGACCTACTTAAAATTTCAAGGTTCATCTTATTTGCGGTCAAATCGAAAGTGACATTGAATTTTCAGTTTTAAAACAAAGTAATCTAGTATAAGCAAAAAAAAATACTAAAGTTACAGGAGTTAGGTCCGATTCCACCGTTGTGTTAAACGGAGATTAAAATGACAGTGTTAATGTAAAAATGTCATTTTAAACTTCGTTTAACACAACGGTGGAATCGACCCTTAGGGCCATTCGCATCGCTAGTAGTTAAGAAATAAGGGAAGCTTAAAATGACATTGTCAATGGAGAAATGTCATTTTAAGCTTGGCTTATTTCTTAACGACTAGTGGTGCAAATGGACCTTAGTCACGTTAATAAAATGTTACATTACAAACCCCTAAAAAACTCGAACATAATTTTCGTTTACTAAAAAAATCCAAAATTTAGCAATATTTATTTATTATACAAGCGAATGCGATTTCAAAGATAACTGGATCAAAAAATCCGAATCTCTAAATTTTGGAGCTAAATGCTCAGATAAAAGCAAGCGACCGATAGGGGTTACAAAAATAATCGATTTATCGATAATTCTGATATTTTTTAATGAAAATCGATTTATCCGCTGTTTTTAATAAATTATTTTTGTTTTTTTTTTAAGATAATGTATTAATCGATTTTAAAGGAAATACAGAAAAAGTAGATTTATTCAAAATTATCGATTTATCGTTTAATCGGTTTTTTAATTATTTGATTATTTTCGATTTTTCAAAGATATTATATGAAAATAATCGATTGAATATAATCGGTTATTTTACATAATCGATATTTTGGTTATTTTTTTAAAATTATCGATTTATTGGATAATCAGCTTTTTAATAATCAATTATTTTCGATAATCGAATAATCAATTTCAAAGGAAATATGAAAAAAGGATTATTAGAAAATAATAGATAATTCGTTTTATTTTTTGGAAAATCGATTTATCATAGAATCGGCTTCTTAATTAATTGGTTATTTTCGATTAGGCGATTATTTTGGAATTATTGATTATTTTTGGTATTTCAAAGATAACCGAATTATCGATTTTAAAGGAAATACAATAAAAATAGATTATTGATAATAATCGATTGATCGAAAATAATCGATTATTTAAAATAATCGATCATTCTGTTTTTTTTTTGAAAATCGATTTGTCAGTTAATCGACTTTTTAATTAATCGAATATTTTTGAAATACAATAAAATAGATTATTGGTAATAATCGATTTATCATAGAATCGGCTTCTTAATTAATTGATTATTTTCGATTAGGCGATTATTTTGGAATTATCGATTATTTTCGGTATTTCAAAGATAATCGAATTAACGATTTTAAAGGAAATACAATAAAAATAGATTATTGATAATAATCGATTGATCGAAAATAATCAATTATTTAAAATAATCGATCATTCTGTTTTTTTTTAAATCGATTTATCAGTTAATCGACTTTTTAATTAATTGATTATTTTTGATTAATCGATTATTTTCGATTTTTCAAAGATTATCGAATAATCTGTTTCCATGGACGAAAAAAAAATGGTTTATTTGAAAATAATCGATTATTTAAAATAAACGATAATTCTATTTATATTATATTTTGTAAACACTGATTTATCGGTTAATTGGCTTTTTAATTAATCGATTATTTTTGATTTTTCAAAGATAATCAAGTAGTCAATTTTAAAGGAAATGACAAAAAATATATTGTTTGAAAATAATCTATTGATCGAAAATAATCGATTATTTTCAATTATCTATAATTTATTTCGATAATCACTCATCCCTAGCGACCAAATGACTTTTAATAGATTTAAATTTTAAAATGTTATCTGGTTTCAGACATATGCATTTCTAGAGTTTTATGTGACTCATCCTTTATAATAATTAATATTCTTAAAGAAAGAAGCCTTAATATACTTT